TGTTCTATGCCATGAACAGGCAGGCTTCAGAACCAACAGCTGCACAGAAGACCAGCTGTTCAGACTGACACAAAGAATACATGATGGCTTCCAGAATAAGAAACACACAGTGGCAGTCTTTGTCGACCTCCAGCAGGCCTATGACAGAGTATGGAGAAAAGGTCTCCTGATGAAGATGATGAGCATAGGAATACATGGCAGATTGTATAACTGGGTGAAATACTTCCTGATAGATAGAACAATCCAGACTAAGATGCACAACGCAATCTCTTCTAAAGAAGTCTTGGAGGAGGGCTTGCCACAAGGCTCATCATTGAGCTGTATACTATTCCTAATCTTTATCAATGACCTGCCAGAACAAATCAAGGCCGAAAAAGCCTTGTACGCTGATGACCTAGCAATATGGCAGAGTCATGAAAATGTGGAAAGTGGAGCCCAAAGACTGAATGGAGACCTTAGAAGACTGCATGATTACTGCCAAAGATGGAAACTCAAGATTAACTGTGCAAAGACGGTCTACATAATCTTTACCAAAAGCCACCAAGTAGCAAGGAGGAATATTAACCTGAGGTTAGACAAACACCAAGTGATGAAAGAAGAGCATCCCACATACCTTGGAGTCACACTTGACCCGCAGCTCAGCCTCAAGAACCATATTGAAAACATCAGGAATAAGGCATTGAGGCGGTTACAGTTATTAAAGAGACTTGCAGGTACATCATGGGGATCAGACAAGGAAACTCTGAGGGGCTTATACCTAGGATATGTTCGCTCTGTGATAGAGTACAACAACTCACTGCTTACAACTTGTTCCAAAACTAACCTAGAGACTCTTGACAGAGTACAAAATAATGCCCTCCGATTAATCTGCGGAGCTATGCAGTCTACACCAACTGCTGCATGTGAAATCCATACAAATGTGGAACCCCTCGGGTTGCGGAGAGAAAAAGCCACTTTAGAAATTTATGAAAGATGCGTTAGGAAAAATCGTAACCATCCTAATAGACATCTTGTAGAAAACTGGGAATTCAAACAAAGAATAAAGCACAAATCGGTTTTACACTGTGTTAATGAAATTCAGGACAGATACCACCTCCCAGAAAGACGTCAAGGAATTCAGAATGTTGCAAAAAACCTACCACCACATGCTCGCTTTAAAGCTCCAGAAGTCCAAACTAAATTGGTAGGCGAGGAAACCAAACAGTCCGACCCAATCGCTCTTATGAACTCATCACTAAAGACCGTTGATTCTTACCCCCAAGAATGGATTCATGTCTATACTGATGGATCAGCATTTAAAGCTACCATTAAAGCAGGTTACGAAATCTACATAGGTTATCCCGATGGATCTGTTGAAGAGATTTTTGATGCATGCGGGGAATTCTGTTCAAACTATGAAGCTGAAATAATTGCACTGGAAACAGCAGTATACCACCTAAAGACTGTAATGGATGTTTACCCCTCAAAGGTCCAAAATATTGTCATCTTCACAGATTCAATGTCTGCCCTTCAAGCTCTGGAGGGCAATGAACGCTGCAGAACTGACATAGCCAAGATAATCCTGGATGCCGATCAGCTTATTACCTCATACAACATCAGAATAGTGATGCAGTGGATTTCAGGTCACTCCGGCACACCAGGTAATGACAGAGCTGACAGATTGGCAAAGAAAGGAGTAACACAAGAACAACCACCTACAGCGACAACCCTCCAGACAGCAAAAACACTGATAAGAGCTATAAATAAAGAGACTTGGTTGAACAGATGGGCCATGGGAGACACTGGAAGAGAGGTTTATAGACATATGTCTGGCCCTGATCCTAATGACAGCATTAACCATCTAACAAGAAGGGACCAGGCCACCATCTTCAGACTTAGAACGCAACATACTCCACTCAATGGACACCTAAACAGAATACAGCCACAACACTCCCCAGAGTGCCAGCTATGTAACTACCCCTACGAAACTGTTGAACACCATCTCTTTGAGTGCCCAAAACTCAATGAGACAAGAAGAACGCTACTCCCTCCGAGACCAGACAAGTGGAACACCTTGTACGGAGGAAAAGAACAGCTTGTGAAAACATGCAAATTCCACTACATGGCATTGGGCCAAAGGGCGAAAGCTCATGCCCCGCATGATCGATAACAACAACAACTCACAGTAGAGACCGACCTTCAACAGCTAATTATTTCCAGGTCACCTAAAGACCGGGTGTCATATATTGGATTCTAGCAAAGAAATATGAACTTCAGCATTCGGCGTAGGAAAGAAAATCTTGACTTCTAAATTTGGACTCCATTATGTAGCAGGTAATTTGCAGAACGTCGCTCTCATCACAGTCTGCCTGAAAGAAACTCGGTCTCTCGCCAGTTCTTCCGCCTCATTTGCTTTCATACTCAAGGAGTCACTTATATCCTGTGCCCATCTTCGTGTCGGTCGGCCACTGCCCATCCTTCCTGGTACCATGCTTTTTGGACTAGACTAGAAAACCTTAAATTCTACCTAGAAAATCTCAATTTTCTAATTAAATAATGAGTGTGTAATTTCTATCGTAATGAATTCAAAGACCATAAATATCGTACATAAAGACACATTTCACTGTTGGGCAACTGTTTTAACAAAAACATTTGGGGATGGGGGTGGGGTGGTCATTTTTTCATCGGCACCAGATGGGTGATCTAATTAACATCACAGCGGCCACTTCTACTTCCCATTGCATGTTATAATGCCCATTTTATGCCGGATCGACAAGGAGCCAAGGGGGAAAAAAAACAACTACCAACGTTTTTTAAGTTAGTTGCGGATCCTTTACAGAATGTTGCAGAACCAACTCCAACATTTGTTTGGCTGTTGTGGTTTTTCAAGGCAAATTTACGCCCAGTAGTTTGCCATTGATTTCTGGACGGTCAGCTTCTCGATACTATTGTCGAAACCAACGCAAGGCATACGGCCCGCAGCTGGGATCGAACCCGGCACCCTGGCATGTCGAAGCGCATTCGCAACGCCTAAGCCACGGACGTTGACCCCCAACACAGTACGAATATGAATTTGACGTGTAAGCGTCTAGCCTCTGTGCACCCCCCCCCACCCCAGTGTTCGCAAATAAAAGACCCCTTTTACGCATTGGGCTCATTATATATACGGCAGTAGACCACCTATATTTTATAGACGAATTAGAGGTCAATGACTTGTATGGTGGTCAACATGACACCGGCCGCTTTTACTGCCCAGCACATCACTTGGTATCTATTTAGGCTGGAGTTGACATGGCCGCCAAGGTCAGCTTTGCGCACTCACACACACACACACACACACACACACACACACACACACACACACACACACTCACCAATACACAGCGCATTAATTTGCGATACTGAGCATTAATTGCCGTATTCAAGAGGGGGGTAAACAAGTAAAGAGAAAACGAAAACGTGAGAAATCAGGTCTTATAGATATTGGAGTGGCCTCTTAACCTTGGCCGTAGACCTGACTTGACAATATTGTGCTGAAGTGTCGAAGGGAAAAATGTCGGTTATCACAAACCTCACCAATGACGTAATTAAAGTGTCGATTGCCATGGGGTCAATAGCATTAGAGTGTTTTCCTCTGAGAAAATGTCACAGGAGAATATTTGGTGCCTGTTATTAATGTTAAAACCACTCGATTAGGTCGTTGGCTGCAATAGAGTGGTCTTCTTCTTCTTCTTCTTCTTCTTCTTCTTGTTCTTCTGATGCTTGCACTTTCTAGAGCTTTGTTATTTTAATGAATGTCAGGGGGGGCGGTGTAATTACGTGCGCCGATAATAATAAGGCTAGGGATTTTTTTTTTCTGTCGGGGGCAAAATAAAACCCTCACCTGCACAGTCGTGGCGACAACACTAGCCATGCGGTCGAAAAAAATCATCAGGCTCAAAGACCCCACTGCCTCATCATCATCAGGTGCCTTGCCGACTGGCGTGGGCCATCGTGTCTCTCCAGAATCCACGATCTCCTGCAGCATGTATCAGTTCGTGTGCCGACACACCTCCATGCCGTGCAACAAGACTGTCAAGAATCTTCTCTTGTTGTGTTCCTCTATCCTTCCTTCCACAGATCTTTCCAATGGTCGCAACATGTTCTATTTTCCCTCATCTCTTGCCTACACCGCAAAAGTGGTGTAAAAAAGGCAGTAATTAGCAGTTAATGACTCTTCTCCGCTCCTTGAAGCGTACTGAGCAAATAGTGCTTATCCTATACTTTACAGACCTATCGACACTCGGTTGGTGATATGGCTACGACGACCGCCTTTACTCCGCAATACTTTACCTGGTACCCATTTAAGACTGCGTTAACTGAGGAGCTAAGGTCATCTTGGAAATTAAAAACGTCCGGTTTTTGTTAGGACCTTAACCCGTGACTTTCGGATCCGCAGGCCAGCGTCTATCTGCTACATCACGGCTGCTTCCTGTCGATAATAATAAATAAATACAGGCACAATACATTTCGACCTGGATGTAAAGGCAAGCAGACAGACGACGAGACAGGAAAACAACAAGTAGAATTGGCATCAGTAATATGAAATTTGCGCGTTTTCTCTGTTTGCTTTCTTTTCACAATGACGCAAATGGCGTACAGTTTCCAGTTCTGCAAGATCAACATGCAGATACATGGGTCAAGAGCTTTTTTTGTGTGGTAGGTAATTTCTATAGTATGAACTATATGGCCTGGTTATTAGCTTGACCTCTCTCGACAGAAAGTCAAGTGATTCGAACCCACTTTCTGTATGCAGATATTTTTTCATATATTGTTAAGAACAAATACATCAGTCGACGTAGCTGTTGCCTAAGTCAATATGGGAGGTATATAGTCGGTCTCAGAAGTTGTACCAAACTATACAAATGGGTAACTCAGCAACCGTTCATTTAAGTGTTTATTTTCTTTCAAGCCCAAGAGAGTGTCAAGTTGGATTGCAAGGTGAGGGTGTTATAGGAGTGGACATACGGTGCTATGACCTTTTAAAATGTAAATAGTTTAAGATGGCAGACTGGTGGTGGTGGTGGTGGTGGTGATGGTGGTGATGGTGGTGGTGGTGATGGTGGTGATGGTGGTGGTGGTGGTGGTGATGGTGGTGGTGGTGATGGTGGTGATGGTGGTGGTGATGGTGATGGTGGTGGTGGTGATGGTGGTGGTGGTGGTGGTGGTGATGGTGCTGGTGGTGATGGTGGTGATGGTGGTGGTGGTGGTGATGGTGGTGGTGATGGTGGTGGTGATGGTGGTGGTGATGATGGTGGTGGTGGTGGTGGTGGTGATGGTGGTGGTGGTGATGGTGGTGGTGATGGTGGTGATGGTGGTGGTGGTGATGGTGATGGTGGTGGTGGTGGTGGTGATGGTGGTGGTGGTGATGGTGGTGGTGGTGGTGATGGTGGTGGTGGTGATGGTGGTGGTCGTGGTGGTGGTGGTGATGGTGGTGATGGTGGTGGTGGTGATGGTGGTGGTGGTGGTGATGGTGGTGGTGGTGATGGTGGTGGTGGTGATGGTTTAAACAGTAGTAGTGGTGTAACACAGACAAAGAGCAACCGACACAGAGCTTCACCAAACATTCTGAGCATTCACAAAATACTCCCAACCTCCACAAACTCTCAACCGAGCTGTTACAAAATCTGAACCGAGCCTGCACAAACTCTCAACCAAGCCTCCACAAAATCTTAACTGAGCCTCCAGAAACTCAACCAAGCCTCCACAAAATCTCAACTGAGCCTCCAGAAACTCTCAACCAAGCCTCCACAAAATCTCAACTGAGCCTCCACAAAATCTGAACTGAGCCTCCACAAACTCTCAACCAAGCCTCCACAAAATCTCAACTGAGCCTCCACAAAATCTGAACTGAGCCTCCACAAACTCTCAACCTAGCCTTCACAAATTCTCGACCGAGCCTCCACAAAATCTGAACCAAGCCTCTAAAAAATCTCCACTGAGTGATCAGAAATACTCTGAACCCCCATAAATTATTTCGAGCCTTCTCAAACTCTCAACCGAGCCTCCACAAAATACCCCGAGCCTCCAAAAACTCTCCACAAAGTCATCACGAATTACTCCGAGCCTTCACCTTGAGCTTCGACAAAATCCCCACAAGATGAGCATTAAGTCAGGGGCAGCAATTAAAAAGATATAAGAATTTCATAGGTAAGGTCCCTTTTTCTTTCTTCTTTTGTTGTACCCCACCAGGACAGCAAACAAGCGATTAACACACGGTGATACAAAGTGCCACCATGCGGATGAGGATCACCCGTGGAAGAGTTCCCGGAAACCCCCTCTAGCCGTTAGGCCACACTTATGGCCCGGTTATATTTGGGTCCCCTGGCAAAAGCCAAGGTGGGACTTCAAAATATTTTATGATTCCCAACAAATGCTGGTCAAGCGGTTACCAAGAACCAGATCAGAATGGAACAAAAATCAGCCAGCTGCTAGAGCTTGCTACATAAGAACGGCAGATACAGGACAAAAGGCAGCACAAGAAAGAAAAGGAACGAAGGAGGAAAACTAAAACAGACACTTCAGAAATGCAGTATGACATTAACATGAGCTAGCAAAACTAGCAACAGAGAGGAAACTACATCTGATTAATCTCTGGGATGCTTTACGGCATAACCACCAGGACAAAAGAGGAAAGAAGCATTCCATGGGTAATGCGGTCAACATTGTGCCTGACATCCGTATGTTCTGCTACCCCCTGTGTGTTTGTTCTGCTACCCCCTGTGTGTTTGTTCTGCTACCCCCTGTGTGTTTGTTCTGCTACCCCCTGTGTGTATGTTCTGCTACCCCCTGTGTGTATGTTCTGCTACCCCCTGTGTGTATGTTCTGCTACCCCCTGTGTGTATGTTCTGCTACCCCCTGTGTGTATGTTCTGCTACCCCCTGTGTGTATGTTCTGCTACCCCCTGTGTGTTTGTTCTGCTACCCCCTGTGTGTATGTTCTGCTACCCCCTGTGTGTATGTTCTGCTACCCCCTGTGTGTATGTTCTGCTACCCCCTGTGTGTATGTTCTGCTACCCCCTGTGTGTTCTAGGTCGGCATGGAAGTCAGAGTCAACTTTTATTACATGGTATTAACTGAGTATAAAATGAACGAATATTACCCTTTGGGAACGAGTGAACAGTGCCGAGGCGCAGAAAGATCATTAAGGTCTGAGTAGAATGGAGCTGCAAAGAGTTACCAGGGAATCTGGCCGACGCTCAACACTTAGGGGAAGGATGAGACGGATATACAATCAGATGGTTACTGGTGCCATTAGAACTGGAACTCTTCGCTTGCTAAAGATAAGGACGGTTCCCTTATTGGAGTGTCCCGAGTGCTGTGATGTGGATTCTTTATTCAACATTTTGTGAACGAATGAATAAATCTGGAACTTTCCTTGAAGCACTTGGGACACTCCCATACATGCTCTGTCTCCTTCTTCAGTAGCTAGGAGTTCTCGATCTGATACTGTCCGTTGCAAAATAATTAAAAGTTACCCAGCGCCCCCCCCCCCAACCCCTTTTTTCCTTGAGAGAGAAAACTCATCCAGATTATCTGCTCATTTTCATATAATATCTGAAAACAAGAGAGAATAAATCATTGTGCAACTACATCAGGAGACAGCAGACAAAATGGTTCAGACATGTATCAAGATTTCTACACGACAGGCCACCATAGATGACCCTTTCACCGAAACACAATGGAAGCAAAGCTGAAGACCTGCCTCACCAGCTGATGTACAGATGAAATACTTGAGGCCCTAAATACCAGTTTCTACATCGCACACATTAAGGCTGGCACCAGTTGCCTCTTCAAAATCTGACACTGAATCGCACAACACGGACTACAGAAAAGAAAAAGAAGAAAACCAAGTTATTACCAGATCCTCTTTCATAAAGAGACAATGTCAAACATACTACTTCAGAAGAAACTGACAAGGTTACAGACAAATTGATTCTTTATTTGTGTTACAAAATGTATGTAAGAACAGTGCCCACAAATTCTCAACCTCGTGGCTATGATCAGAATTTACAGTACAAACCTAAGATTCACAACATTATTTAGCAGGCACGTGAAAGAGCCTTAAAAAAAACAAAACAAAAAAAAAAAACAGAAAAAAAAGCTTACAAATGAACATAGCAAAAATATCTACTTTATAGTACACAGACTGGACAATTTGTAAAATGTACACTCATTGTGTCCAGCATCTATGTCATAAATAGTTATCCCCAAAAGGGTATGGCTACAAGCAGATGCAAACAATGTAATTACAAAACAAAACATACATTCTTCTCCTTCAATACTCAACACACCGTGTACCAAAGAGCACGCATAAGCAATTTTAATGGTCTCCATAAAAGCTACTATTTGAGCATGAAATGTTAAGACTTCAGATATTTTAACAGACAAAGGTTAGATGGAAAGTTGCTTTCCTCATTACCTGAATTGTGCAAGTTAGACAGCTGATGTTTGAAGCAGCACGAATACAACTTCCATCACCTTACCAAGGATTCAAACCTGGGTATCCTGCATGAGACCCTAGTGTTCTAGCCACTCAGTAGCTACTCCTCCCAAAACTATCTTCGTCTTCTTCTTCTGTAGTCCTGATCAGGTTTTGAACCAGCATCAGGTGCGAACTTTGGTATAAGTTACGTAGATGCTAGCCAAAGCCTCGGATGTTCCATCTATCCAACACTTGCACGGCCAACCTCTAGGACTGCTTCTATTATTTCTAAGTGACAGGGCTCTCCGGAGTGCCTCATCTGGTTGTAGTCTTGACATGTGTCAGAACCATTTGATCTGTTTCTGCTTGATGTAGTTTTCCTAAAACTATTCCCATGCAATTCTGAAAGCTGTATGGTGGCATTTTTTTCTTTTCACTGAGGTCGGGCTGACTCCAAAACTGTAATAGTCCGACATAATAATCCTGTCTCTGATGGGGGTTAAACGCAGGCCATTGTCTTACCAGGTTAGTGCACTCAATACTATATGATACTAATTATCACATCACAGTCCCTTTCAAAGACTATCAATCTCCCTGCTAAATTCTTATGACTCATGTATTGTCTTCCAGGAACCACATCCTTCAGTGCTGGTCTTTCTAAACCACTAAAGCATTTACAATGGCAAAAGCATTTCGATTTCCAAATGAAGATGATATTTACGAGCAAGTTTTTATTTCACATTGAATTTTTTTTTTTTTGGGGGGGGGGGGGGGGGGGGGGGGTAGAATAATGATTATCTTTTTCTTGATAAACATTTGGAAATTATAAATGGGGGAATGGGGGAGGTGACAAAACAAAGTGTTTATAAATATCGCTGGTCAAGATTACAGGCTTTTACAACCAATTAAAGATGCTGGTTTTTAAAGACTTAAAAGTTTACCCAATATATTCAAATTCCAATTGTCTGGGGATGAATCAAAAAACATTTAAGCGTAGACATTCCTTTTTTTCCCATGATGTTTTTCAGTTCTTACCGTCTTTAGTTTTCACCATGAATTTTAGCTTTGTCACGTGTCTTTTAGTTCTTTTTATGCCTTTACTTTCCAAAATGTTTTTTAGTTTTTCTATTTATTTTTGTTCATTGCAGATCTTCTGATTCCTCCCATGTCTTTTAGTTCTTTCTATGTCTTTTGTTTTTTCCCATGTCTCTTAGTTCCTTCACAAATTTCATGTCTATGAGTTTCTTCCACGTCTTGTAATATTTTCTATAACTTTTAGTTCAACCAGATCTTTTAGTTCTGTTCATGCTTATTTGTTCCATCCATATCTTTTTAGTTTTCTTTTATTCACTTCTACTTTCTTCACATCTTTAATTTCTTGTCTCCACACACACACACACACACACACACACACTTTATATAAAATGTACAACCACACATACACTATAACTTCACAATTTGTCTGCAATTCCAACAAACACACACACACACAAAATAAAAAGACAGACATACAGACAAACTAGCAGCTGCATCTACAGACTACAATATTTACATCACAATTGCTGGCATCTATTATGCTCATATTGCTTGTACACGTGCAATGTGACCTCACAAAACAATTATCATTTTGGTAAACTTTTTTAAAATTTAAACAAAATATGACAAAAATGTCCAGTGAAATACGCTGATTTTAAACACTGGATACTTCAGGGGTGTTCAAAGTGTCAATAGTGGTCTAATGACCAACTGGCAAGCCATGAGAGGTAGCCTGCAGTGATTATGTTATGTCTGTAGCGAACATATGTTATTGTTGTTGGACACCAGATAAAGTTTAGCCTATGAAGTAGACTGCCAGTGCTCCCTGAAATAAAGAAATAGTCTGCCAGTCATTTCCTAAATGAAAAGAAACTGTAAATGATTTATAAAATAAAATAAACAGACTACAAATGATATCTGATACGAAAAACAGACCGCTGTTGATTTTAATGAAATCAAAACTAGCCCTCCAAATTTAAATAAAAAAAAAAAAAATTGACCACCACTGGTTCACTCCATTATTGGTAATTCAGAAACTGGTTAATGTTTTTCACCATTTATATTCAGTTATGTTGTCATAGGGATGAAAAGTAT